TGTTTTGCGTGTTTTTGATGGTATTGTCATGGGTCTGTATGTTTGGTAATCCATATGTGAATATTTAGGAGCAACCGAAGGTTTAACGGTTGATTGTAAGGTTACTTGTGTTTGTGAAAGATTTGTATTTCTTGGTGTTGTTAAATTCGGGCGTATTGGTGAAATACTTTGTTGTGTAGTTGTTGTGTGTACAATTTCTTCTCTTATGAAGTGTGATGGTGTCTGTATATCTTGTTGAGTAAGATTTCTAGTTCCATTGAGGTTTTCGTTGTGTATGACTGTAGAGTTTAAACTATTATTTTGTGTATCGGGTAAAAATGTATTATAGTTTAATGGTGTTGCATCAATTGTTAATGGTATCACTCTTACATAATCTCTTATGTAAGATATTGTACCTATTGCTTGACTTGAGATTGATTGTGGAAAGCTTATAAATGCGGGATGAGACCATTCGGGGTCCCAAACATAATCTGATTGTTCTGTGATGGCGGTATCATCGTTCGAGTTTTGGGGTCTAAAATTTTTTCTTGCTTGTGCAATTAAATCAATATTGTGTGTGAAATAATCTATTATGAACCATGCCAAAATTTTTTGTAAATCGTGTTTGGTATGTTGCGAAACGTCGTTTTTCGTAAAATTTTCTTTAATGATGTTTAAATAACTAGAGAGTAGTGTGATTTCATGTCGTACTCTTAAATGTTTAGATGTTTCTGTCGGTGAGACATTTGTTAATAGGAGTTCATTTTCTAATAGCTAAATATAACTATATATTATTGCGAAAACTTCATTGGTGAAAATGGAGTTTGCTCTTTGTGAGTTATGGTATTGGATGCTTTTTATATATTCTGAAAAAACTTTTGAAAATTCTAAGTCAAGATCGTCTGTTTGAATAGTATATGTTCTATTATTATGGTTTGGGGAAGTGAATTCTATAGAGTAGATTCCATACTGTTGTATTATGTTGCATATATCTTTTAGATAGTGATCTATAATTTGTCTTTTGATTTTTACATCGGAGAACTCTGTTTTACATGGACTGATTCCGGGTTCAAATAAATTTACGAGTAAATTTTGACAAAATATGTGTTGTCCTCTATCAGTATCTGCATCTACTATAAAAGGAAAGATTTCATCATCATCTGGAGTTTCGTCACCTGGGGTGTGCGTTGAACTCATTTTTCCGTTCGATGACTGTTAATATGTAATTATTAATGTGTCGAATTGGTTGATTCCAATTGTATAGATGTACTGGTTTGTGTTTGTACTGTTTTTTTATTCTTCTTTTTCCTCTTTGTGATGAATTTGAAGTTGTTTCTGAGTCAGAAAAATATAATTGATCGTGAAGTGGGCAATTTTTATCTATTGATTCTTTTAGTTTGTAAAGTTCGTCTAAACTGTTGGTTTCTGATTCTGAAAATGCGTTTCGATTTTTTGAAATTCTTTTTCGTGTTATTTGTCTTTGTTTAGTTATTATTTTCCTCTTTAGTGTTTGTCGTTTTGTGCGAATGTATCCAACTGTTTGTGTATGAGGTGTGATTACAAGGTCGTATTTTTTGTTATCTATTTCACAATTGTGTAAAACGATTGTTTGTTTATTTCCTAGGTTTTTAAATGACATAAGGTTTAGGATGACGGATGCAAAAAGTTG